TTAATTATCTTGTGCGCACGCGCTAATTATCTTGTGCGCACACGTTAATTATCTTATGCGCTCACGTTAATTATGTTGTGCGCACGTGTTAATTATCTTGTGCACACGCGTTAATTATCTTGTGCGCACGTGTTAATTATCTTGTGCGCACGTGTTAATTATCTTGTGCGCACGTGTTAATTATCTTGTGCGCACGTGTTAATTATCTTGTGCGCACGTGTTAATTATCTTGTGCGCACGTGTTAATTATCTTGTGCGCACGTGTTAATTATCTTGTGCGCACGTGTTAATTATCTTGTGCGCACGTGTTAATTATCTTGTGCGCACGTGTTAATTATCTTGTGCGCACGTGTTAATTATCTTGTGCGCACGTGTTAATTATCTTGTGCGCACGTGTTAATTATCTTGTGCGCACACATTGATTATCGTGTACACACGCGTTGATTATCTTGTGCGCACGTGATAATTTTCGTGTGGGCATGTGATAATTTTTTTTATTCCATGTYATCGGATGGGTTCCGTAGCCAATTCAGTTAAAAAAATATACTATACATATTATACCACTAGGGGGTGCTCATCTTTTGTGACTTCTATATAAGTCTATATAACAGCTGGAGTGAGTCTAAACTAGGTTTCTATGTTTAGGCTGTGAACCAGCACCCTGTCGGGTCACATCTTTATTCCTCCATGTTGTCATAGAAGCTAACAGGGGACTGGGTATGTAGGACTCAATCTAGTAATATTAGAGTCTATGTGTGACTTTAACTCTTACCTTCCACTCTGGCCTCTAGTTCTGTCTGCTCACTGACTGACAGAAGACAAAACCTGCTGAACAGTGATCATCAAAAAGCTGCCAGCTGTATGGATCTCTATTCTAGTTTCTCCTGATCCTCGATATGTTTTAGATACTCCACTTACATTTATATGTTTTTATTGTTTGTTTTAGCAACTTTCCTGAACATTTATTTTTTTATGATAGTTTACTGGTGAGTTTGTAATACAATAATGCTGTTTTGAAGCTGGTTCAGTGAAGTGGCCAAAGGGCTGACAGAAATGAAAACGAGGTGAAAGAAAATAGACAAAAAGTGGATGTATAATTTGTACATGCAAATGAGTTTAAATTAAAAATGTTTTGTAGAGTTTAGACACCTTAAAATTTTGTGTGACATCATTGTCAGTCAGTGGAACATTCCATGATAAAATCTCCAAAAATYATGAAACCTAAACTGTAATTGAATGAAAAACCACCTAAAAGATTTCAAAATTCTAGTTCATTTGCAGGGGTGGAGCCAGAGGGGTGGCCTAGCACCTGATTGGCCAATTTAAGTGCCATCCCCAAATGATTGTGTGTAGGGATTGCATGTGGCATGATAAAATGGGCATTTAGAGCAACAAAGAGTAATAATCTGTCCAGCAGCTGTATTTTCAAGTGTAGAGGGATCAGTGTGCTGTGTGAGGATAAAGAAATAATATTTTTTGAACAACTGAATTAAAATAAAACAACAATTGTGATATAAGTCTGGGTTCAATAACTAATTAATGAAAATTGGGTGACATCTAGTGGCCAGTCTGTACCAAAGCAATGACATGGAGGTACTAAAAAAGTTCTTTGACAGACTTTGACAGGTAGTGCCATTTGGCCGCRGATTTAAATTTATAATTTGACTGTACTACAGTATATGTTGGTGATCACAATTCCCATCACACAAAATTCAGCTCAATATGTATAAAAATATACCCATTTGAACCTAGCTTTGGTRGCCATCTTGGATGTTTTTATTTGAATTCAGCATTTGGTAGGCATAGCTTTCAGCTTCCACAACATGTCATTTCACCTTAAAGGTGCAGTATGTAACTTTTCTAAAAATATATTTTTAACATATTTGTTCACTCTGTCACTATCTCCTGACAGATTGATATTAGACAGGTAAGCTATGGAGGAAAAAAGAGTCCTCTTGCTTTTCCCGGTGGTACTACAGGCTTTAGAAAAATCCAGGCTTACCCGAAAATTAACAGCCAATGAAAACGTAATGTTATGCATATAACTACTGTTCCC